TAAAACAGCCCTACAAGAAATGCTCAAGGGAATTTTTCTCTTTGCAAAAAAAACAATGGTGAACAGCATCATTAAGTCTATAAAAATAGACAGCTCTATTAAAGATACCATATATTCAAATAGAAAATGCTCTCACAATGATGGTGTCTAAAATTCTCATAATCTTCTATAGAATTTTTAAAACATAAAATTTGAACACATCTTTCTTAATAGACTTACAAAATAAAATGTATATTTTTGTGAAATTAATAAAGTGACAGGAGGTGTACAGTGATAGTGTTCACTTATGCTGTGAGCACTTTGGGAGACTGAGGTGAGAGGATAGTCTGAGCCCACAGATTTGAGACCAGTATGGGAAACTTGGTGAGACCTCGTCTCTCCAATAAATCAAAATATGAGCTGGGCATCATAGAGCGTTCCTAGTAGTTCCAGTTACAGGGAAGGCTGAGGCAAAAGGATTGCCTCGCTGGGCTCAGAGTCTCAGCCTGTAATCCCAGCACTTTGGGAGGCTGAGGCAAGTGGATTGTCTGAGTCTGGGCAACTTGGTGACACCTCATCTCTACAAATTAAAAAATTAGTTGGAATGGTAGCATATGCCTGTACTTCTGGCTACTTGGAAGCCTGAGTATGAAGGATTGCCCTTGCAAGTTGACACTGGGGTTTCGGTGGGCATGCCACTACCCTCTAGCCAAGGTGACTGAGTGAGTTCTGGCAAAAAAAAAGGAGTGCCTAAGTCCAGCAGATTGAGGCTGAAGTGACCATGATCAAGTCACACTCCAGCCTGGGTGGCAGAATGAGAATCCATACCAAAAATAAATAAATAAATACATAAATGCATAAATGCATAAATAAGGGGAAAAGGAAAAAAGAGATATTTTGCATGCAATGAAAGTTAACCTGTTTTGATTTTTTTTTACTGTAATTTTACACTGTCACGCATGCTGGAATGCCATGGCATGCTCACGGTCATCTCAGCCTCGACTTCCTGGGCTCAGGTGATTCTTCCTCCTCAGCCTTCCAAGTAGTTGGAACCACAGGCACATACCAACACTCTAGATTAACTTTTAGATTTATTGTATAGTCAAGTTCTTTCTGTGTTGCAAGGCTGGTTGTGAATCCCTGAACTCAGGCAATCCTCCCACCACAGCCTCCTAAAGTGATGGGATTACAGGAGTGAGCCACTGTGCCTGGTTAACTTGTTATTATATTAAGATATATTGGTGTAACTTAAATATGTGTTATGCACTCTACACTTGTCACAAATATCACAAAGAAAATACCCATAGAAGGTACTCAAAAGATAATAAAAATGTAATCAGGCATATTGTCACCAAAATAAAAGTAAAAGAAAACACAAAGGAAAGCAGTAAGATAGAGGAAGGATTGCCGATGCCAAGCAAGGCGATCCCAGGGTGATCGTGAGTGTGCCACTGCACTCCAGCCAGGGTGAAGGAGTGAGACTAAAATTCCACAAAGAAAAAGATTGAAATTATACAATGTATTTACTTCTCACCATAAGGAAGTAAAACTGAAAATTAAATATCGGAAAACTACAATGAAATAAAAAATACTTGCAAATTAAACAACACAATCTCAAAAGTCAGAAGATTTAGGCTGTATGTGGTGGATCATGCATGTAATCCCAGCACATTTGGAGGTGGAGGTAAGTGAATCACTTGAGCCCTAGAGCTCGAGACCAGTCTAGGCAACATAGCAAGACTTCAATCCACAAAACAAAAAAAATGCCTGTTATTCCAGCTAATAAGTAGACTGAAGAGGAAGTGTTGTCTGAGACAAGGAAGTTGACTGCTTTTAAGCCATGATAATTTCACTGTACATGGAAGATGTTGAAAAACCAACAGAAAGCCGGGCTCGGTGGCTCAGCCTGTAAACCCGTGCCTTTGGGAGGCTGAGGTGAGTGGATTGCCTGAGCCCGTGGGTTCGAGACCCACCTGGGCTGCGAGACCTCATCTCTACAATAAATCTAAAAATCAGCCGGCCATGGTAGGGTATGCCTGTAGTTCCGGCTACTTGGAATGCGGAGGCGGAAGGATCACCGGAGCCCAGCAGGCAAGGCTGTGGTGGCTGGGAGCGGCCACTGCCCTCCAGTCTGGGCAACAGAAAGAGACTCCAACTCAAAAAAAAAAAAAAAGAAAGAAAAACTAACAGAATTCAGAAGATTATTTTCATAAAAATGTCAATTCAACCCACAGTGATATACAGGTAATGTAATTCCTATGATTATTTCTGTGACACTTTTTTTGAAAAAAATATTTTTTAATCCTGAATTTACACAGAATCTCAAGAAACGATAAATACCTTAAAAAATTAGCAATAAAGGATAAGATACAGGTATGACACATTCTGATTTTAAAACATATGACTAAGTTACGAGAATAAAATATGTGCTACTGGCAAGCAGAAAGACATATAATGGAACGAAATGCAAAACCTCAATATAAATCCTTATGAATATGAACAAATAGTCTTTAACAGAGTTGACATGGAAACACAAGGGGAAGCAAAGCTTCTTCCCAAATGGTGTTGGAAAACTGGCTGTCCACAAAACAGAAAAATAAAGAAAATTCTAAAATGCTTAAATACAAAAGCCATAAAGGTATTAGAACCAAATATAAGATGGATGCTAAGACACTGTCCATGACAATGCTTTGTTAGATGACACTAAAAGCATAAGTTTTGATGAAAATAGAAAACTAACTCCTCAAATTAGAAAAAAAAAAAAAATTAAAAAATTAGCTGGGTGTGGTAGCGCGCATCTGTAGTTCCAGCTACTTGGAAGGCTGATGTGGAAGGATGGCTGGAGCCCAGGAGGTTGAGGGTGCAGTGGCTAGGAGCAGCCACTGCACTCCCATTTGAGTGACAGTGTGAGAGTTCAACTCAAAAAAAAAATCTTCAGTGAAGGAAAAACATCTCTTAAGAAATGAGAAATTTATTAGGAAATTTAAACATGTAATAGGAGTTAAAATTCAAAATATTTAACTCCTAATAAAAAAAATTAAAAAACATAACTGAAACATGGACACAAAAATGAACAGACATTTCTCCAAAGAAGACGTACAAGTAACACACAAGCCTTTCAAAAGATTTTTTAAATGACAAATGCTCAGAGAAATGTAAAGGAAAAGCCCAATAATATAAAACCTTACACCCAGAAGGATAGAAAATACCAAACAAAATAACAAATACTATTGAGGATGTAGAGATGATGGAATGCTTGTGCACTGTTGGTGGGGGGAAAATGATGCAGCCTCTATGAAAAGTAATATAAAAATGCCTCAAGAAATTAAAAATAATCCTGTGACCTGCAATCCAAATTCTGGGTATCTTTCCAAAGATACAAAGCAGAACCTGAAAAAGATAGGTGTACATTCATGTTTATGGCATTATTGTTGACAAAAGTCAAAAGGTGGAAGCACCCTAAATATCCTTCAAAGAATGAAAGGACAGAGAAAATGTAAAAATTTCCTTTAAAAAAGAAATCTTGTCATATGTTATGGTAAGTATAGCTCTTGTGGACTTATGTTAACATAAATAAGCCAATATCAGCTGAATGAGGTTATCCATGTCTGTAATGTCAGCACCTGAGCCCAGCAGTTCAAGACTTGCCTAGGCAATACAGTATGACAAGACTTGAGCTTTAAAAAAAAAAAGCTAGGCATGTAGGCACGAGTCTGTAATCCCAGTACTCAGGAGGCCTTACTTGAGCCACCACACTCCTGCCTGAGTGACACAGACCATGATTTGTAAAACAAAAGAAAACCTTAATCAGGATTTGGAAGATATCCTTGACATTGATATTGGTCTGAGTAATGATTCTTTTATTGACGATAGGAAAAGCACATATATAACCAAGTTGGAGATATCAGATTAAAAAGTTTCTGCACAGTAAAGGGAACAGGAAGAAGGTTTACAAAACAAGAGAAAATATCTGCAATCCGTATACCTGATGACAAGTTAATCTCCAAAATATTCAAGAAAATTATACAAATCAAAGGCAACAACAAGAAAATGTTAATCACCTGACTAAAAAATAGCCCCAAATGAATAGTTATTTATCCAATGAGTACACAAAAATTGTCAACGGGTATAAGAATCAGTGCTCAGCATCACAAAAAGAGGCAATTTCAAATAAACACAATAATGATATACTATTTCACACCTTTTAGGATGGCTAATGAGGAGATAACTTTTGATAGGAATTGGAAGAAAAGGAAATCCTGTATACAGTTGATGATTTTAAAATTGGTAGAGTCATTATAAAAATTATTAAAACTTTTTTTTTTTGAGTTGGAGTCTCACTGTGTTACCCAGGCTGGAGGGCACTTTTATTTCAAGGTAACATGGGAGTTTAAAATATGTTTTTAATGTTCTATGTGATATAGTATACTTAAGAATTCAGATATGTAGAAATAAATTACCAATCTCAGTCCATACTTAGACAAATTAAAGTAAAATAACAGGATTTATTCAATCAAGAGAGATAGTTTTTGTCCTGGTAGAATTATGGAGTATGAATTTAAATAAAATCACATTGGAAAGCTCCCTAGGATAGAAAATCAAAGAGTAAAAAACATCTGTCCAGAGAGTCCTTAAAATTTCTCAAGTAACACTCTCTCACCTACTTCCAACATGACACAAAAAAGTAAGCTTAAAACATAGTTTGACATGGATTTTCTAAATAAATAAGCAGATACTTGCACATCTTCAAAAACATCAGAAAGGTAATCAACTCATACAGTCCCAAACAAACCATTAAGTAGACTTTGATTTCCTCTGTAACCTTGAAAGGAGATCATTGAAGAAGCAGAGTTTTTGGAGAATTTCAGAACATGGATTAAGAGATATCCCTTTGTGATAGCAAGAGAAAGAATCCCAGGCTTCTCAGAAACCATTTCCATTGGATCAGACCACCTTTGCAAACCACATTTCAAGCTCTGCTTCCTAAACCGGCATCATCTGCTTCTTTCACTCCCACCCACCTGGTGGTTTGGCTGATGTGCTGTGTTTCTTCATTTTCCAGGGCTCTTTCCTTTGCTCCAGACAGGTGATCAGGTCAGGCTTAGAGGCAGTAAGTCCTGTTTCATTAGAAAATTGTAACATGAATCTTGCTGGGATTCTTCAATTATAAAATTAGTATTATGATCAGTAGAAAACACATTATACAAGATTCTAGAAAATTATCCCAAAATACTGTTCCTCAATAAAACCTTTAGAACATACAGACAGAACTTTAAATTTGTGGGTTCTTGTTTTGTTTTTTGTTTTTGAGTTGGAGTCTCACTGATGCCCAGGATGGAGTGCAGTGGCATGTTCATGGCCACTGCAGCATTGACCTGCTAGGCTCAGGTGATACTTCTCCTTGGCCTTCTAAGTACCAGAACTACAGGTGCATGCTACCATGTGTGGATAATTTTTTGATTTGTTGTAGAGATGTGGTCTGGTCAAGTTGCCCAGGTTGTTCTCACACCCATGGACTCGGGCAATCCTCTCACCATGGCCTCCCCAAATGCTGGAATTACAGGTTTTAGCCACCACACCTGACCTTAAATTTGTTACTTCTTAGATCAGTACTAGTGAGTCACAAACTTATGGCAGCAATTGGAATGATGTGTGAGCAATGATATTCTATGCCTCCAAGTTTCTGCACTTACCAGTAATATAGAGAGAAGGACACATGTCAATTTAAAATAGAGAATGCTGGCTGGGCTCGGTGGCTCAACCTGTAATCCCAGCACTTTGAGAGACCGAGGTGAGTGGATTGCCTGAACCCACGGGTTCGAGACCTGCCTGGGCAACTTGATGAGACCTCATCTCAACAATAAATAAAAAATTAGCCGGGTGTGGTAGCATGCACCTGTCATTCCAGGTACTTCAAAGACTGAGGTGGAAGGATCACCAGAGCCCAGCAGGTCAGGGCTGCGGTGGCTGGGAATGGCCACTGCACTCCAGTCTAGGTGACAGAGTGAGACTCCAACTCAAAAAAAAATAAAATAAAAAATAAAATAGAGAATGCTTCTTGTCAAAATGAAACCTCTCTAATTTTTTTAAGACAGATCACCAACTTTTCTTTGATAACAGGAATCTAAAACTCATTTGCAAACAGCAGAAATTCCCAGAAAACATTCTACAAAGGAAGACCATGAAATCCTTAATACGAAATAGGGATTGTGTTTTAAGACAGTGCTTACCTAGAAAAACCAGGTTTCTATGGTTCTCTAACATCACATTCCTGTACAATACCCGCTGAGTGGGGTCCAGGAATACCCACTCCTCTTCAGAGAATTCTATGGACACATCCCTGAATGTCAACAGTCCCTAAAAACAGCAACCACAAAACAAGCCAAGTGACCATGGCTTCTAGGTAAAGCCAGAGTGAAGAGAACAGGATGCAGGTGATATGACAACTAGAATTATGCAATAAGATAATTTGTAACACAGAAATATTCTCTAATGCATTAAGTCTGAGAAGAATTTCAAATAAAATCCACTCAGCCAGTGTGGACACTCTGCTCTTGTGACTGATACAGCATAAACTTGGACACCAACATAGGCACATACATTTTTCGATGAGATATTTACATCACACAGAATACTTTGCATATACTTGCTTGGGTGGAAAATTACCAGTGAGTTGTAAGGTCCTCATCAAGTTTTAATATATACAACAATGAATTGAACATTTTTTTAAATGTAAATTTTGATTCAGGGGATATCGGGTTAGTTTGAGGTTCTACACTTTTTTTCAGTTGGTGGGTGTCATTCTTTCCCATGCTAGGGTGCAGTGGCATAATCACAGCTCATTACAGTCTCCAGTTCCTGGGTAAAAGAATGCACTCTCCATAGCCTCCGAAGTAGTTGGGACAAATTGTTATCAGGTGCCAAGGGACACAAGTATAACACAAAATCCATACTGAGATCTTACTGGCCACAACATATAGTAATTTATTACTATTTTTTGAGATGGAGTCTCACTCTTGTTGCCCAGGCTAGAGTGCAAAGGTACGCTCCTGGCCACTGCAGTGTTGACCCACTGTACTTAGGTGATCCTTCCACCTCAGCCTTCCAAGTAGCTGAAACTACAGATGCACACAACCATGCCTGGCTCGTTTTTATGATTTGTTGTAGAGATGAGGTCTCACAAGGTGGCCAGGCTGGTCTCAAACCCAGCATCAGGCAATTCTCTTGTCTTAGCCTCCCAAAATTCTGGGATTACAGGCTGACCCACCACACCTGACCAATATAGGAATTTGTAGACTCAGTTTAATAATAAAGAAACATGTTGTATGCAGAAATCAGCCTACAGGTATTTCCCATAGCAAGCAATCTCCAAAAGTATATTTATATTGCTTGTTTTTAGCATCCCAGAGAGCAAGTGTCTTCTAATTATTCTTTTCCAGAATTTCCTGAGTTATTCTGGATAGTAACTGCCACCCTGTTTAAATGTGCATTTTATTAACCATGTTCTCCAGGGAGCTGATGGAGCATCCAGACAGAACCTTAATTGTACTTGTTTTGGCTGGGCACTTGGCCCATCCTATAAATTCAGCACTTTGGGAGATGCATGTACTACCTCAACCCATGGGTGTGAGACCAGCCTGGGTAACTTGAGACCTCATCCCTAAAATAAATCAAAAAATTAGTTGGACATGGTTGTACATTCCTGTATTTCCAGCTACTTGGGCGGCTGAGGCAGATAGATCACCTGAGCCCACTGTTGTGGCCATAAGTGTGCCTATACACTTCAGTCTGGGTGACAGAGGAGTCTCCAACTCAAAAAAAAAAAGAAAATAAAACTACATGTTCCCATCCTTAACTAGGATCTGAAGATCTACAATCGCCAGTGGGAATCTTAGGTATCCGTGCCTTCCCATGTTCCCCAGTCACAAGGGAACATTTTAAATACTGCAGGTCATAGATTCATGGTGAGAATAGTTCATGGTATCTAAGCAGTATGGAAGAAGAGAACAGAGGAGACTATGTAGTGAGCAGTGTCCAACAGACCCATTGAAAATAACAGGAAGGAGAATAATTGAAACAGACTTATTAGGCAGGACCATCACAAGGGCAGTAGGAAGTTTTGCAATTTTTAAACATAGACATTTCTCTGCCCTGGGCACATTTACCTGAGAACCAGCCATTTTTTTCTTTTCCTCCTACTTCTCTGGGATTTCTTCTTAGGAGAGATTATCTAAACAAGTCACGCCTACATGTTGAAAATATGCCTTTATTAATTTTAAAATTACATTGAATGTATTTATTTTTAATCAATCTTACCACATTCTTGGAAGTCCCTACACTTAGTCTCCTGTGTGCCTGAGGTGCCCTCTGATTTGTGGATTCTTCCACCATGTCCCTGAGGTGGGTTTACCTTGTCCTTTGGGATAGTTTTACTTCCTTCACAAGTGTAAGATCATCAAGAGGACAGAAATCATTTCTGCCTTGTCCCTTCAACAACAGTGATGTGTGTAAATGTGCCCAGTAACCAGTTGCCAATCTGAAATTGATTTCTTGAAAATTACTAATTTTAAAAAATAAAAATGGGCTGGGTGTGGTTCCTCATTCCTATAATCCCAGCACTTTGGGAGGACAACATGAAAGGATTGCCTGGGCCCACGGGCTAGAGACCAGCTTGGAAAAGTTGGCAAGACCTCATCTCTACAATAAATTAAAAAGTTAGCCTGGCATGATGGCATGTGCCTGTAGTTCCAAGTACTTGAAAGGCTGAGGCAGAAGGATCACCAGAACCCAGCAAGTGGAGGCTGTGGTGGCCATGAGATTGCTACTGCACTCCAGCATGGGTGAGGGTGAGATTCCAAGTTAAAAAAAAAAAATTAGAGTTAATCAGCCGCAAATGGCACAATCAACTGTCAAACATCTGACATAGCTCTGTTTTAGACTGAGGGGGGATCTCTGGCCTGTTGCGAGCTTGCACACAAATAAAATAATATTGAGATGCTGGCAAGATAAAGTAGGTACAAGTCTGCAGCTGTCCAGACTAACTGGGAAAGTGGGAGTAGGGGCACTAACTCTATTTTTTTAAATAAAGGAACGAGGAGACTGTGAACCAAGAAGAAAGAGAATTCACCACTTTCCAGGACTCCTCTCATTGCCCAAATGGCAGCAGGTCTAAGCCACCTCCTGATCTTGCTTCCCGCTCTGCCACCCAGCCTGGATAAACATTTTAAAAAGCACACACGACCCAAGAGGGGTCTTTAGGACACCGACCCCTCATCTTCTTGGTTTTATGTCCCTCTTCAATAAAGTCACAGACCCTGCCCCAACTCCTTGCCTTGACTTACTATCTTGCTACAAGCAGAACAGGGTTTGCCCCTGGTGACATCAACTGCTAAGGATCCTGATGACATAACCCGGGAATTTCCGTCTGGATAGTCCAAATCAGGAGAGGCCAAGCTGTCACCCACCAGCAATTGCCTATGGTCGGCTTCCTCCTGCCCCTTCTCAAAGCCTTCCCTCCCAGTCTCTCCAGGGATCCCACAACACGAGATCTGGCTGGGACTTCTGTACTCACAATCCACTGTTAGCCTTAGGGAACCACTTTGGCTGTGGTGCAGCCTCCGTTTAACCTTGAGGAGGAGAGAGCGACGGTGCCTGGACCAGTTTCCCCCTCCTCCCATGGGCCTCCCACGAGGGTCAGTTCCTCCCGAAGGCGCTCCCGAGTCTCGAACTCCTGGAGAGTGAGGCTGTTTGGAGAGGGTTAGGTGGGTGAGGTCGCCTCTGGGAAAGGACACCAGGGTCCCAGCCTAGCGCCGAGGGGACCGAGCCGAGACACCGGCGGGGACGGGTCCAGGCTCGGAACTGAGGGGGAGGCCGGTCCAGGCACAGCCGCGTCATCCGGGTCCATCCCCGCTCCCCCCTCTCACCCGCTGGAATACTCATCACCTCCTGTCTTCAGGGTGTCCAGGCGTCCTCCCTACGGACTCCCAGGACCTGCTGGTCACAGGGCAACAATGATTAAAGCGAAAACACACAGCTCTTTCAGAGACGATACAGCATTTCCGCAGGTGCAAGATACAAAAAGCCCGGCGAGCGCTCGGAAGCCGCCCTCTCTCTTCCGGCTATGCTCTGATTGGACAGTTTCCGAGTCAGCATCCGCTGATTGGATGAGGCTCCGCACCCCACCTCTCTGATCTTGATTGACAGGAGATGCGATCAGACGGGGCTGCGGGAGGCAAGAAAAACACGTTTTTGCTTGCAGCAATGTAAGGCTGAGTTGCCTCCTTGCACCGGAAGTTGGGGTGAGGAGCGGAATGTGCGGTGCCTCGCAGCACATGCTGGGAACTCTGGCGTCTGAATGACTTCTGGGCTGGTCTCTGTGCTGCCAGACAATTCCGGCATGCCCCGGGGCTGGGGTGGAGTGCCCTCGCAGGGCATTCTGGGAACTCTGTCATAGGAACGGCGCTTGGTGAATGGGTCGCTGGCCTGCAGGACTCCATCCCAGTCTGCGCTGGTTGCAGGTGGTGATCACTCAAGGAGGGCAGGAAAGGGTGGTGCCTCTCGTCCCATCAAAGTCCTGCTGGCCACTGACTTCCTGCCATCAGGTCACCATGGGGAGTGAGTTCGGAGAGGATCATGAGGAGCACGATGGGATGGGCAGTGGGGATGACTAGGTGACGCTCCAATACACATGTTCCAGGCCCACGTGGGGCGGGCTTAACCTCTGTCATCCCTGCACAGCTCAGAATCTTCTCCACCAGCACCAGGGTCGTTCCAGACCACTGGCCTCCTCCTTATCCCAGGAGCCACCTGCTTCCTAAACCACTTGGTGACGGGTTGAGGTCCAGGCACTGCTCATTGCTGCTCTTCCTTCTGCTCTCTCCAACCAGAGTCCAGTCCAGCCACTTTGCGAGAAATCCTCATCCAGATCCCACCAGAGCTTCATTGCTTTGCCAAGGATCACGGGATGCGGCTTCCTGGAAATGTCAACATCATTGACTCAATTGTGGAGGTGGATTTTGAGCATGAGGGAGAGTAATTATGGGGTCATTTGGAATTTGCTTAGAGTAAAGGAAAATCCCACTCCCAGGCACGTATCAAGTGGGCCTTTTTTTTTTTTTTTTTAGTTGGAGTCTCACTCTATTGTCCGTGATTGTGCCCCTGCAGTCTTGATATGCGAAACTCTGATGATCCTTCTGCCTCAGCCTTACAAGTAGCTGGAACTACAGGCATGCGCTCCAATGACTGGCTAATTTTTGATTTATTATACAAAGAAGTCTCAGCCGGGCTCCGTGGCTCAGCCTGTAATCCCGCGCTTTGGGAGGCTGAGTGAGTGAATTGCCTGAGCTGCGGTTTCGAGACCCATCTGGGCAACTTTGCAGGACCTCATCTCTATAATAAATCGAAAAAATTAGCCGGGTGTGGTAGCGCGTGTCTGTAGTTCCAGCTACTTGGAAGGCTGAGGCAGAAGGATCGCCGGAGCAGATCGAGGCTGCAATGGCCGGGAGCGGCCACTGCACTCCAGTCTGGGTGACAGAGTGAGACTCCAACTCAAAAAAAAATGCAACCAAACAAACAAGACATGAGGTCTCATCAAGTTACCCAGGCAGGTCTCAAACCTTTGAGCTCAGGAAATCCTTTCACCTCGGCCTCCCTAATTGCTGGGTTTATAGGCATGAGCCACCACACCCGGCCTAGTGGGCCATTTTTACCGACCCATTTCAGTGTATGTGAAACCAACTTGAAGCTGATGGTGTGGTTCAGGCATCTTACACTTAAAATCATCCAGCCCATTTCAACTGAGGCCTGACTGGACATTGTGTCAGAGATACAGATGGTGACTTGATCCCTCAGGGACAGTTGGTGACTCAGCTTTGGGATGGCGACTTTCAAGGTCTGGGCTACGTGGAAGCCTTTGAAACCCACTGGTTCAGCCCCTCTGCATTGAATGAAAATTTTGTCACCCTCAGCACTGAAGGATCCCACCTCCCTGGGGCCTATCTGCAGAAATTTTCTGTCTAGGAAATGGAAAACTTTGGGAGCATTTCTGCCTCCAAGTAGCCTCCTAAAATTGATGTTTCTGAATTCCCATGACCTCAGAGACAAGTCTTTTGATTCCTGATGAACCAGGTTTCATGTCATTATATGTAATGTGCAAACCTGTGTGCAAATCTACATTAAAAATATAACATGGTTCATATCACATGTTCCAATGGATTTTATTTGTGATTTCAAAATATGCAATACCGTCAGCAAACTTAAAAATATGATCATGGAAATGAGACCTTATTATGGTAATTTGTGAAGAATTTAGCCATATAGGATTTATTACATGTGAGCTCATCAGCACCTTCTTTAAAAATGTGGGGGAAGTATGGCATTTATGAACATGGTGAAATAAAGAACTATAGGGAAACCACAGCACAACACTAGCACTTTTTCTATTTTAAATAGGGCCTGTGAGGGCAGTCTGTGTAGTCGAGGGCATATATCCCTCCTCCATCACACAGTATTCTCATTCTACTCCTCCTGTCTTGTCTTTAGTTGATGGTTTATTTATTTATTCATTTTGAGTTGGAGCTTCACTCTGCCACCCAGGCTGGAGTGCTATGGAATACTCACAACCACCCCAGAGTCGACCTGCTGGCCTTTGGTGATCCTTCCACCTCAGCCTTTCAAATAGCTGAATCTACAGCCACAAGCTTCCAAGTCTGGCTAATATTTTTATTTATTGGAGAGGTGAGGTCTCGTCAAGTTGCCCAGGCTGACCTAGAGCCAGTAGGCTCAGGCAATCCACTGTCTCAGTCTCCCAAAGTCCTGGGATTACAAGCTAAGCCACCAAGCCCAGCTCATTGAGGGTTTTTGATTACACGCACACAATCTTGTATAAGGGTGTTGTAACATGAGGGTGCATCTTAAAATGGGGATTTGAGGAGACAGAGTCTTGTGATCTCTGTTCAGATGCACTGCTGTTGGACAGTTGGTCTCAAATACATTTTTTCTATTGTGTCACTAGAATTCTGAAACTATTTTTTAAATAAGATGAACACTTAGCTGGGTGTGGTGGCTTAAGCCTGTAATCCCAGCACTTTGGGAGACTGAGGTGAGAGGATTGCTAGAGCTCAGTTTTCAAGACCAACCTAGGAAACTTGGCAAGATCTCATCTCAACAAAAAATTAGTTCAGCATGGTAGCATGTGCCTGTAGTTCCAGCTACTTGGAAGATTGAGGTCGAAGGATCGTCTGAGCCCAGCAAGTAGAGTCTCTGGTGGCTGTGAGCATGCCCCTGCACTAAAGCCTGGATGACAGAGTGAGACTCCAACACCCACCCACCACAAAAAAATTGTGGACACTTGAAGTAACAGACACTTTTAACTATCTCAGTGAACTTAACTCTTCCAACCTCTTGATAAAATAGGCCTACGATCTTTATTTTACAGGTGAAGAAAGTGGATACTTGGGCAGGTTGAGTTGCTTCATTAATGTCACAAATTTTTTGATGCATTTGAAAACTTAATCTTGAATCTACCTCTAAATTATGTATGCTTATCGCATATTCTTCTTTGACTCTCTGACCACATTCCAAGGTTAAATGTCTCATTCCAGGTCCATTTTCTTTTCTTTTCTTTTTCTTTTTTTTTTTTTTGAATTGGAGTCTCACTCTGTTACCCAGACTGGAGTGCAGTGGCTGCTCCCGGCCACCGCAGTCTCGACCTGCTGGGCTCTGGCAATCCTTCCGCCTCAGCCTTCCAAGTAGCTGGAATGACAGGCGCGCTACCATGCCTGGCTAATTTTTGATTTATTGTAGAGATGAGGTCTCGCCAAGTTGTCCAGGCAGGTATTGAAACCGCAGGCTCAGGCAATTAACTCACCTTGGCCTCCCAAAGTGCAGGATTACAGGCTGAACCACCAAGCCTGGTCTAGGTCCATTTTCTACTTGATGATAGAGAAATTGCACAAATAGGTGAGGAAGGGAACTAGCTGACACTTGACCTTCCATGTCCTCTGTCTTACCCTTAGCTGGTGTTACATTTTCTGAGTGATCTGGAGCTGTCAGAGATCCTGACAACTCCTCACCTGGAACATTTGTTATGTACAGATAATCCTCAAGTTTGCAGCTGAACTTTCTTTGTCCTAATTATTCTTCTCAGCTTTTTCTTACAGGTGGTGTACTACACTGAAACACAATGCAAATATTGATAAAAATAAAATTCTTGCCTTCCTACCAAAAGATACCAACATTCTTTATTTTCTAATTTTATAAAATACATGATCTGCCAGGCTCAGTGGCTCAGCCTGTAATCCTGTATTTGGGAGGCTGAGGTGAGTGGATTGCCTGAGCCCACGGGTTTGAGACCCACCTGGGCAACTTGGGGAGACCTCATCTCTACAATAAGTCAAAAACAATAGCCGGGCGTGGTAGTGCATGCCTGTAGTTCCAGCTCCTTGGAAAACTGAGCGGAAGGATCGCCGGAGCCCAGCAGGTTGAGACTGTGGTGGCCGGGAGCAGCCACTGCACTCCAGTCTAGGTAACAGAATGAGACTCCAACTCAAAAAATAAAAAAGATATATGTTCTAAGCAAAATCCAAATCATGAAGATCTCCACGAAAAGAAAGTTTTTTGTTGCATCCCTTCCCTCCAAACTCATTTTCTTCTTAAGTGAAATTATTTTTAAGATGGTTGTGCTTATTTTTCTGAAGACTTTTTATAACTGTATAAATACATATAAAGTTTTTATTAACATAAATTATGCCAAACTATATTTTCTTTTAAATTGTGCTCTTTCTCAGGCTATATATTGTTGACATATTTTCATATCAGTTCACATGATTCTAGCTTACTATTTTAAAGTGTACTCTGAAGAATGGGTGCATTCTATTCTATTATTTGTTTAACTGTTAACTCCTTGTAGAAATTTAGATTATCTTTAGGTTCATGATTATAAAAAATGCTGTAGTGAGATCCTTGTACATAATTTTCTACACTAATATCTAATTGTTCAAATTGCCTTGCTTTCCTTTTGTCAATATTTCACATTTTAACATTTATTTTGTGAAAACTATCTTTTGATTTATAAGGAAATTAGTTCTGACACTGTATAAAGACATTTATGATGAAACTGGATTCAAGGTTATCCATCTCTGTATTCTGGCAGAAAAGCATGAAATCTAGTCAGTGTTGCTTGCTCCATTAGTTTAAACTTGACAGTATATTCATAGAAATTGAAATTTAAATATTGGAGTTGCTTCTATCCTTTCTGCACAAAAAGGTATATATTTAGTATACTTTTAACATTCTGACTCCAGAGACTATTAATTAGGCATCAGAGAGAATAGGAAAATGCTGTGCATCTTTTTCTATTCAGCTGTAGGAGCCATCTGACATAGATAATAGAATTTAATGGTGGTTCCGTAGATGGACAGATAGAATAAAATATT